GACACTGGGAAGATACAGAAGGATTTTTATACCCGCGGTAAAGATTTCTAGGGAAAGGAACTGCAGTTACCAAGAACAGACAGACGTACCGGTTCCCAGGTTCCCAGAGCATGGGTCCTCTCTTCAGTACATATTACTATTCATCTGGCGTTTTAATTTTATGCAGGCTATAAAAGCTGTACATGTTTTATGTGACAATTTGGAAAATACAAGAAAGCATAAACAATGAGTAAAGCCTACCATTCCTTGTATTACCCAGAAATACCCAAAACGTGTCTAATATTCCACTGTGTAGAATTCTGTTTTTTTTCATACAAGTATATGTGTGTGTTTATATAAGATGTTTGGTTTTGTTTTTTATAAAGCTTGAGTTATACTGTACACGTGGTTTTAACAATCTGCTTTTTTCCCTTAGAAATCTCATGTGGTATACCTCTAGGTCAACAAATGCAGATCTGCATTGTTTACAGTTGGCCATTAATTGTACATGATGCATAGCATCTCATCAGATAGAACTAACGTGATTTTAAATAACCCAGCCCCATTTGTTGGATATTAGAATTACCTCCTGATTTTCTATCCTTAAAATAAAACTGTTTATGAGGGATTACTCCAACTTGATTAAAATAGACATTTTGTAAAACTTTCCATGTTCATGTGTCATGTTCAGATTTATGTGTGTGTGTGTTTAGATGGAAATATGGAGATATAATCTTTCTCTTAAAACCATCGCTTTCTGAAATCTCGGATGATAACCCTTTACAAAAAGGATAAAAAAAACATTGTATACCCTTATACTGAAATTCAGTATTCCTAAAATAATAAAAATGGAATTTGAGTGATAACAATAGTCAACAAGTATGTGATAAGAGAATATTTCACAAAGGTTGCATATATCTAGTAAGAAGGTAATTAATTCATTTTTGGAGTATTTAAGGATAGCTGCTAAACAAAAAGGGAATTTAAAATAGATTGGATGATCAAAACTGAATGCAAAAACATTTAAAAAGATAACCATATATCCTTTCGTTTTTATTAAATTTTCACTCCCCGCCATTCTCCCTAGCTCACCTTGGGTAATCTTATTCTACCACAAGGAAAGAGAAAATAGGCACTCCCCTTTACCAAAATATTTAATTTGTCTCTGTTTTGAGTCAAAAGCCAAAAGCTATGGCTTGGTAAATGGTCCTAGAAAACTTAATACAAAACACTCTGAGTCTTATTCTAAAAATCAAAATAAACCCCAAAACCAATGGAACAAACCAAAAAAACCCTCTAGACCAAATGGAAATTTTTGTGGAATATGTTACCTGAAATTAATCATATAAAATTAAATATTTAGGAATATCAGGCTTCAAAACTTCAGTACGTAACTGATAGCGTATGTTCAAACCCTGAAACAGAGATTTACACGTTATCCCTTAAATGCTTATAGAGACCAGATTTTAAAATAAAGCTGGTTCTGCGTTGTTGTTCATTGAAGATCACTGGAAAATCTCGAGTTATGTGCACAAAAGGAAAATTACTTCACTTGGGATTTCAGTCTTTCAAAGCAACATGACGTGTTTATTTTGATTTACCTGCGTGGACACCATGAGCTTCCTGGGTTCCTGAAACCTTCCCATGACTATTAAAATATCCGGCACAATGCTCTGGATACTCAGGCAGGCACTCAGTAACAGCATTTACTGATTGGAATAGTGTTGCATATTTCATAAGAACCAGTAAGTCCTATGCCGGGGCCAGAGTCAGAAAACCTCTCCTGGTCGGAATGATAAAAACTGATCAGATGTTATATACGTACAGCGCATGATATATACATGGTCATTATAACTCAAATCGGTTAGTTGTACTGGTTCACAATTCACAGCGTTTGGTCAATATGCTTTACTAAATAAAGGCACGAGATGGGAATAAATGTTTAAAATAACTTGAAGTTTCCATTGAATCAGAAATAGTGTTATTTTCAAGGAAACGTTTTCTCTGGAATGCCAGTATCTGCATGCTACCTCTGCTTCCCAGAAATAATTATCTGTTTGTTCATTTGCTGAAATATAGTTATGTGTGGGTAATTATAGCTATCACTTACTTTAATTGCCATCCTTTTACTGATGCGAACACAGACTTAGATCTTTTTTTGTATATTTAATTATTCCCTGGACTTGTGGTTATTTATCATTAGATTAGAGAACAGTTTTTAGTGCTAGAACGTTGTAGTTATAGCAAACAAAATATTGTGAGTCTAAGGATGTTTAGTGGGGAAATAAAGATATGACAAATTCTATCTAGGCCATTTTATGTTCAGTATGATTTCCTTTCTTGCTGCTTGATGACTACACATTTTACGGCTGGGCGTCAGAAAAAATGACAATTAAAGAATACAGTCATTACATTTGATTTTCCATTTACCATTCTCTGAAGATTGTCTTTATTTGTGCTGTGTTTATCCTCAGTGCATCGTAAGGATAATCTATGGTGATAAAGCACTGGGTGAGGCCATTTACAAGACCAGAAGCTCTGCATTCTTTTTTTTTTAACATCTTTATTGGGGTATAATTGCTCTACAATGGTGTGTTAGTTTCTGCTTTATAACAGAGTGAATCAGTTATACATATACATATGTTCCCATATCTCTTCCCTCTTTGTCTCCCTCCCTCCCACCCTCCCTATCCCACCCCTCCAGACAGCCACAAAGAACCAATCCGGTTTCCCTGTGCCATGCGGCTGCTTCCCACTGGCTATCTACCTTACGTTTGTTAGTATATATATGTCCATGTCTCTCTCTCGCCCAGTGCTACCCATTGCCTTCAAGTATCGCCAGATACTGTGAAGTGTTAGGTGACGCCTTTAATTTCTGGACTACACCCTCCAGGTCCCCTACTTTGGCCATCTTACAGGCCACCCCCAGGACGTGGAGACATCTCGTGTTCCATGTTACGATGCTTCAGCACTTCAGTTCCCTTGGCCAGGCTGACCTTCCTCAACCTTGCTCACCTTTCAAAATCCTCCCCATCCTGGAAGGTCCACAGCTTTTGACATCGCCACCGTCACTCTTCCTCTAATCCCTCACCCAGAGTGAATCCCTGCTTTCTCCAGATCCATCTCAACGCCACCTGTGCCCTGTGGAACCCTTAAGTCATCCTGTTGTGTATTCTGCTTAAGAAGCATTACCGTGAAGATTTGAGATCCTCGGAGGCAGACCTTTTCTTGAGTCTTGGCGCATTTCCCAGTGCCTCATTCAGAGGGTGACCTAGATATTTCCTAACTTTATTTAGTTGACACTGTGTAGAGCAGTTCATGCTAATGACTTGGCTCTGAGTTTGGATCCGCACTAAGCTGAGTTTCTGTTCTCATTCAGCGAGCAAGCTTCTAACTGATCATTTCGTTTTTAACAATGGATCACAGCCTCCTTCCCCAGGTTCCTAGTCTCTGTAAGACGTCCAGTGAACCGGATTCTCTAGCAGCAGACATTTGTCTTGCTTGTCAATGGGCCCTTCATCCCCCTCTCACATGAATCCCAAACTCTTAGCTTTGCCCTGCTAGCTTTGCCCTACTATGCTTATCTAGTTGCCTGGAACGCCAACCTGTGTGTGATCTTGGATTTCCACCCACCCTTCCTCTGTATTGATTCCGATCACTCTAACACTCACTGCTTGATCGGAACCTTCGCCACACCTGCTACCCGGGTCGCGATACAGTATTCCCCTGGGCAACTTTAGACATTGCTATTACTTTTGACAAAGACCCAGTCTCCCCATGACCACCCATCCGTATGTCTATCACTTCCTAGATGCTGGCCCTCTCCTGCCCAGTCTCAATGAACTAACCCTTCCACGCCAAGGTATTTGTATATATATCAAGAAGATCAACTGGGAAGACTTCTTATGTGTTAACAGGATGTTGTGGGCTTCTCTGCAGAACTAACTCTCTAACTGCAAAACTATGAGTGATTTTCTAATGATGTTTAAATCAGGAATCATGTACATGTTTAATCAGTTATACCATACTGGTTAATTATGATTTCAGATGAGAGGAGCAATCACTTCAGAATCTAAAGTTGTCTAGGTTGAACTTTCATTGGACAGTTGTTACTTTTTAGTCCATTCATTTTTATCAGTAAGTCACCTGATTGATCCCTCTCTCAGAGTGCTTCTCAGCCAGGGATGATTTTGCCTCCCAGGGGATATTTGGCAATGTCTGGGGACAGTTTTGGTTGCCACAGCTAAGGAGGTGATGCACAGGACAGACCCCCAGCAGAGAATTATACAGCCCAAAACGTCAGCCAGGCTGACGATGAAAAACCCTGCTTGGGTCACGAGGGATGATTACTATAACCTTTTGGAGCCTCGAAGGCACTTCTGTATCGTGGGAGATATAAGTTGCCTCAGACCCGCCACTGAGCCTTTAGGGTTGGTTATGTATTGGTCTGTTGTGATCGGGCAGCTACCCTGACCTTTTCCGCGTGCAATTTCACCCAGTCCCCTCCTTTCCTTTGGATGTAGAATGAACGATAGTCAATAAAATTCGTCTGACACGTAGACTTGATGGTGTCTTATCTTATCTGTCTTCCATCCCTTCTCAGCTGCCCTGCTACCCCACAAATGGGAAACAAACTGCCACTGCAGGGACCCATTTACCCTCCATCGCCCACAGGCTTCTCTTTCCCCCATCAGTGTTTCATCAGACTATTTCCAGCCTCTAGAAAAGTGTTCCTTCTCCCCTACAGTACCTCTTTGCCCACGTCTGTGCTATTATGACATATTTCTTCACGATCATTTCAGCTTTTTTTGCCAGTACATTTCCTCTTTGATTAGATGGAACTCCAGCAATACCTGGTATTACCATGCTGCCTTGGGAAATTTAGTTTTCAATGAGTGTTTACTGACCTTCATTTCAATCCATGAAATGTCACCATTTTCATTTGTTCAGTAAGTACACGACTTACTTTATTTGGGGAAAGAACACACAACTTAACGGCTATTTTGTGTTGACCTCCATAGGTTTACCTGAAGACGATGGATTATCCAGGTTGTCTGGGAGTGGGACCTCCTCCCTTCAGAGACATAGAGAGAGTCACACCACTCAGGTAATGACCCCTCTAATGCTTACCTTTGCTATGGTAACTGAAGTTAGATGCCTACGTGAGATTCATGAAGGTGTGACCAAGAGGGTTTGTTCTTATTGGACTAGGGAACACAGTTATTTTCAACTCTGCTGTAAGTTTCTTCACCTCAACATTCTCT